CCATCGAGATGCGGAGGCAAAAACCCCTGCCCTTAAACCTTGGCCTTTGACGATGCAGTGGGACAGAGGCCACCAGCCTTGTGAGGCTGGGATCCAGAAGCTCACGTGGCCTCTGCCGGTTCCCCTGGACATCCGTGCTGGGAGCATTTCACCACAGAGAGAGAAGTCTGCCACCCTGAGCGGCCATGTGGGGAGACCGTGTGGGGACAGCAGACAGAGAGAGAGGTGGACGCCCAGTGGAGCCAGCTCATCGGGGATCTGGTTGTTTGGGTCTCCCAGCCCAGACCCTGAGCACGTGAATGAGAGTTGGTCATTGGCCTTGACCAAGGGAAAGTCTTGGTCCTTCACAGAGACCACAAGGACCGCAGCCAGGGGGACAGAGAAGCATAGATCTGTGGGGGCCAGAGCCGTCCCCGTGGGGTCTTGATAAACCGGGAAAGCCGCTTTCTTTGGGAGATGGTGGTCTTGATCTGGGTTTGAGTCCTGATGAGATGATATGACATTTGTCCCTGATTTTAGTTGATCAGGGACAAGCTGATCAACTAGTGATCAGTGATACTTCCTCGGCTCTCAAAGACATTCAGGGCAGCCTCAGCTCACTGGCCGGGTTGGTCTGGATGGTGGAATCTCCCTGGCCTTCTTCCTTGCAGGCTAAGACGGTGCGGTTGCTACGGGATTCTGCCAAGCCCGGATTAATACCCTCGGGCCAAGAACAGTCAATACAGAAACTTCAGGAGAGAGCTGCCTGCTTTCTTAGGTAGAAATCCCTGACGGTTGATGGGATTCGTTCCGCTGGTTGCGTCCAGGACCCTGGACGACATGGCTTCATCCTGAGGCTTGAAGTCCTGTTCACAGCTGGCATAGTTGCATGTTGTACTAATCAAACTAAATGAATCTGGCTAACCTCTGTCAGTCAGATGAATCGGGTCAAGAATGGATTCTTCTAACTCCTGTGTGAGAGTCTTTCCAGAAAACGAAGCCAGCTTTCTCCTCTGTGGGTTTTATCTTCCTCAGTTTCGTTCTCTCCTCTGCCTTCTTCACTACCTTTCCTTCTTCTTGTCTCGAGTTCTGTACAGACTCTGGGGATGGTAGGATCTGAATGAGGTCGCTGTCATGAAGATGGGGCACGGACGACCCGTCACTGAAGCCTCTCAAGGTACAAATGTCCCGTCACGTTTGTTTGTTAACTACAGGCAGAGGAGCTGCTGAACACCTGGAGGTGGGAAGGTTGTGGGAAGCTTCCAGAAACATCACACCCTTGTAACGCCCTTTACTTTAGAGGCGTTTCCAAATGGAAACATTCGGACAATTATGAAACACTGAAAGCTTCCTGGTCAGGAAGTGGTCTTGTAAAAGGGGGAAGCCTCTGAGGCTTAGCAACTAACGTTAGCCCGTTTGATGCTGACTGCCTCAGACAAACTGAGCTAGCAATGTGCTCAGAGCAGGAGGAAGTAAGCCTCGAGTGACATCAGCGCTGCTTTGAATGGGGTATTATATTTAGGAGTTTCTCCTAAAGCAGGGTGCTTGTGCTATAGGCAAACGCTCCATTCATTCATCCACCGGATACGTTTTGTGTCTCATAACATATTGTGAGTGTTGTTCCAGACCCTAGGGCTGTACCGGATGCCAAGGCAGCCCAAGTTTCTGCCTTCCCATTTCAGGCTCTGAGCCCCGCTGAGGTGGGTCCCGGCCCCTCCTGGCCCCACGCTAACTTTATCTGCCCTTCCCCATAGCCAGACCATGTAGCTGGACCCTCCCTTCAAGGTCTTCTCCCACTGCATTTCTCAAGTTCTCCCAGAGCTGGCCTCCAGCCCAGCAGGTGCTTTATCCTGGTGGCCCTTTCCTACATCAGAGAGAGGAGACCGGGTGTCCTCACCTCCAGGGAGTCAAGTTTCCCAAAGAGCAACAATCAGGACTGTTCAGACCTCGGAGAAGACATCACGCCAATGGGACAGGACGAAGCCGATGGGCTTCAAGGGGTGAGACATCTTCTAAGGCTCTTTTTTGACCTTGAACAAAGGAATCCTGTGTTATACATCAGTTATTTTCCAGGAACTAAACCATGTTCCAAAGAAGCATGTTTCTTTAGGGGCGCCTGGGTGGCTCAGTCAGTTAAGCGTCCGACTCTTGATTTCAGCTCAGGTCATGACCTCACAGTTCATGGGTTCAAGCCCCGAGTTAGGCTCTACGTTCACAGTGTGGGCCCTGCTTGGGATTCTTTCTTTCTCTTTCTCTCTGCCCCTTCCTTGCTCATGCTTGCTCTCTCTCTCTCTAAAGTAAATAAATAAACATAAAAAAAAATGTGTTTTTTTTTTTTCTGGAAGAGAATTCCAGCAGAGCCTTAAAAATGATGGGTTACATCCGTACAAGCGGACGTGAACATTTTACTTTATGTATCAGTCCTATGAGAGCAATTTCATGCTGCTTGGATTTACGCACCTTACAAAAAAAGCATCTAAAACATTTGTAAGCAAAACATACCAATCAATAAAAATCTCTTCAGTACAGATTCAGCCTGAGAAGAGGAGACAGCCCCCAAGGTCAGCAATTCTTGGGTATTTCAAAAGATAGATATCTCCTTTTTTAAAAATATTTTTTAATGTTTATTTATTTTTGAGAGAGAGAGAGACAGACAGAACACGAGCAGGGGAGAGGCAGAGAGAGAGGAAGACACAGAAACTGAAGCAGGCTCCAGGCTCTGAGCTGGCAGCACAGAGCCCGACGCGGAGCTCGAACTCATGAACTGTCAGATCATGACCCGAGCCGAAGTCGAACGTTTAACTGACTGAGCCACCCAGGCGCCTCTAGGCATCTCTTTTGGATACTCAGAAACAGGACTTTTATAAACAGGTTCACTTGTCAGCACACCTCAAATAAAACCCTCCCCATGGGAATGGGGTCTCCAAATCCAAAACTCCTATTTCCACACTCATCATACCCTTGGCCATGAGTTCATCGTTCTCTCTGATGGGTCACACACGTTGCACTGGAGACCAGCATGGACGCGGCCAAGACTTGTGCCAAGTCTCCATCCCCCATTTAGAAGACCAGACAGACATCCAAACAGACAGGCTCTGAGATATCCATTTTTATAGTTTCTAAACAGTGTCCTGAGGAGGTAATGTTCTAGACTGTCTGAGCAGTGACTTGGGAATAGGATTCTTCCTCCATGTTCCTCTCCGTTTTATTTTATTTTATTTTATTTTATTTTATTTTATTTTATTTCACTTCATTTCATTTTATTTTTGTAATGTTTATTTTTGAGAGATAGAGAGAGAGAGAGAGAGAGAGCATGAGTGGGGGAGGGTCAGAGAGAGAGGGAGACACAGAATCCGAAGCAGGCTCCAGGCTCCGAGCTGTCAGCACAGAGCCTGACATGGGGCTCGAACCCACAAACAGCAAACACTCCATTTTGAAAACACTATTTCCACAAAGTTTGTTGAGTGACTGTCTATGACCCATCAGGCCAGTCCTTTGCATCTCTCCTGAGGGGCTCACGGAAATGAGGCGGCAACTGCCCGGAGAACGTGAGGACAGGGGACTCTGAGCTTCTCTGATAAATTAAGCAGCATAAAAATGATACATTTCAACTGCTTTAAAATTACTGTCACCCTTGTTCAAGGGTGTAGTGGCTCGATTCTAAACCTCGTAAACTTTAGGAGGTAGAGTTGACATCTGGAAGGTACTTCTGCGGATTTGTGAGTAGTCGAGAGAGGGGAGGGCTAAGAAAAGGGAGGGCGTGGGGGTGATCGGGTTTTGGTGTGAGTATCTGGGTAGGTGGGGCACCTGTTACAGAGAGAATGAGATCGGGGGTTGGTGGAAGTTGGGGGCGGGGGGTGGAGAAGCTTTCTGGAAAAACCTTCTTAGAAGAAAAAAATGCTTTGATTTTAAAAGCCTAATGTAGGGGCAACCTTCAAGTGCGCTCACTGGAAGGCCTTTGGTAACTCTGAACATTATCATTCATGGAAGCTTCGCGATCTGTTCAGTTGTTTACCCTCTCACTGTCACTGTCGGTTTGCCTAGCTTAACGTAAAATATGCAAGGTACATTCTCTTCCTGTGTACTTATATTATATAAAAAGTTAGCCCAATACAGAAGGTGCTTTCTGGCTTCAAAACTAACAGCAGCACTAGCTCCCTGGTCCTTGTGAAATACCTGCCATCCAGAATCTTCTGATCACCAGGTCCTTTCTCTGGGGGGTAAGCAGTACTATGTACTTGAGAGAGATGTCTTTTTAAAAAAAAAAATTTTTTTTTTTAATATTTATTTTTGAGAGAGGGGGAGGGGCAGAGAGAGGGAGACACAGAATCTGAAACAGGCTCCAGGCTCTGAGCTGTCAGCACAGAGCCCAACACAGGGCTCGAACTCACAAACCTCGAGATTGTGACCTGAACTGAAGTTGGATGCTTAACCGACTGAGCCACCCAGGCGCCCCGAGAGAGGTGTCTTTGAAAACCTTTGGAAGCCTCTTGGGATAGATTTATGGTGACCATATTTCTTCACCAAAAATGTTGACACAGGGTCGGATATCGGTAGCACATTTGAAGTTGGGATTGCTCTGGAGAGCCCAGCTTATTTGGTTCCCTTGAGATGGAACTAGGAGGAGTATGTCTACAGAATTTAGTCCTCAGGATGAGCAGACTCTGGGTGGTCTCCTCCCAGGAATATCCCCTCGTACCAGATGTTTCAGACAGATGTTTTCCCCTTAAGCTGTAACTTGGTGTTCTAGACCATTGTCCCAAGCCTGAGGCCTCGTGTTCCGGCTGATGTCACAGGGGATGTGGGAGGCCCTGCTTCTAGAGAACCTAAAGCCTTGACCATTGCAGGGGCGCCCGGGTGGCTCAGTTGGTTGAGTGTCAACTTCAGCTCAGGTCATGATCTCACCACTTGTGAATTCAAGCCCTGCATCGTCAGGCTCTGTGCTGACAGCTCAAAGCCTGGAGCCTGCTTTGGATTCTGTGTCCCCCGCCTCCCCATTCCTCCCCACTTGCTCTCTCTCTCTCTCTCTCTCAAAAGTAAATAAACATTAAAAAACAACAACAACAAAGAACAGCCTTCCTTCCTGATCAACACCCTGAAATCCCCATTAACCTATATTATTTGTGATTTTGTAAGAGAAATCAACTTCAGGTAGCTTACAAGAAAGGAATTCATCCCATGAACTCAGCAGTACCTCATGGAACCCGAGGCCAGAAGGCAGCCGGACTCCTGGAAAGCACCGGAGTGGAAAGCTGCCCAGAAGCCTGGAAGGTACTGTTTCCCCTTCCTGTGCCTTTTCTCCAGGCGTCTCCTTCCCTCCTGTTTCCTAGCAATTAGACTTCTCTGCTTTCCAGTTTTCCACTCACAGCAGTGGTCCCTAGAGCTGTTAGATTTCCATGAACCAACAGGGTCAGGTGCCCGGAAGAGAATAGATTCTTTCTTGGTCGCATTCCACCGTCTGGGGAAATGTCTGCTGAGTCTGTCCTATGCTCTGTTCTGAACCCAAGTCAGGTCCGAGCTGGGTGGTTCAAACATGGCTGGTGTGGGGGCCACACAGCCCATGAGTTTAGTCCTGGGCAGAGTCTGCTCGGGACGATGAGGGTGGGAGTGAGACTGGGCCCCAGTAGGGAGGTCTGTTGAGGTCCTGTGGGTGCTTGCCATTTGGTCGCAGTCCCCTTGGATCTGTGGGGATTGTCATTATTTTATACTCAGTACATTTCCCACTTTTTATTTCAGAAACTGCTCCTTCTCCATTGCATGCGGGCCTGATAGAAATCATCCAGTACTTGTCCCTTTGTGATTCACTTATTTTACTCAGCATAATGTCCTATAGGTTTATTCATGCTGTAGCAGGTGTCTGATACTCCTTCCTTTTTAAGGCTGGACAATATTCCATTGTATGGATGCGCCATGTTTTGCTTAATTCATTCATTCGTTGATGGACACTTGAGTTGACTCCACCTTTTGGCTCTTGGGAATAACGCTGCTAGGAATGTGGGTATACAAAGATCTCTTCAAGATCCTGTTTTCGATTCTTTTGGGCATATATGCAGAGGTGGGATTGCTGGATCCTATGGCAAGTCTATATTTAATTCTTTTGAAGAACCACCATACTGTTTTCCATAGCAACATCATACCCCCTTTTACATCCCCTCTAACAGTGCACAAGTGTTTCAATTCCCACATCCGCACGGACACATCTTATTTCCTGTTTTGTTTTGTTTTGTTTTTCTTTTTGGGGTATAGTGGCCATCCTATGAGTGTGAAGTGGTATCTCATTTGCGGTTTTATTTTGCACTTCCTTAATGATTAGTGACGTTGGACATTTTTACATGTACTTATTGACCATTTGTGTATCTTCTTTGGAGACTGCTATTGAATTTCCACTTGAATATGCCCATTCTCATCCATTGCCCAGTTTTGAAATGGGTTGTTTATTTTTTGCTGTTGAATTATAGGAGTTGTTTGTATATTCTGGATACTAACCCTTTATCACATGTATGATTTGCAAATGTTTTCTCCCATTTCATGGGTTGCCTTTCACTCTGTTGATTGTGTCCTTGGATGTAAAAAAAGTTTTAAAATTTGTTGTAGGGCAAATTTGTTGTCTTCTGTTGTCTGTGCTTTTACAGTAATATCTAAGAAATCATTGCCAAATCCAATGTCATAAAGCTTCCCCCCTATGTTTCCTCTAAGACTTTTATAGGTTTAGCCCTTACGTTTAGGCCTTTGATCCATTTTGAGTTAATTTTTTTAAAGTTTATTTATTTTGAGAGAGAGAGAGAGAGAGTGAGCACAGGACAGAGGTGGGGGGAGAGAGAATCCCAAGCAGGCTCTGCACTGTCAGTGCAGAGCCCGATGTGGGGCACAAACTTTCAAACCGTGAGATCGTGACCTGAGCTGAAACCAAGAGTTGGACACTTAGCCAACTGAGCCACCCGGGCACCTCAAGTTAATTTTTGTATGTGGTGTGAGGTAAGGGTCCAACTTCATTCTTTTGTGTGAGGAGATCCAGGTCTCCCAGCATCATTTGTTGAAAAGACTGTCCTTTTCCCCATTGAATGGTCTTGGCACTCTTGTCAAAAGTCATTTGACTACATCTGTGGGAGCTTATTTCTGGGCTCTCTATCCTATTCCTTTGGCCTATATGTCTGTCTTTATGCCAGCATCACACTTTTTTGATTATTTTTGCTTTGTAAAAAGTTTTGAAATCAGGAAGTAGGAGTCTTCCAACTTTATTCTTCTTTTTCAAGATTGTTTTGGTTATTTGAAATTCTTTGAGATGCCATATGAATTTTAGGATGGATTTTTCTATTTCTATAAAAAAATACCATTGGGATTTTTTATAGGATTGCACGGAATCTGTAGTTTGGTTTGGGTGGTACTAACATCTTAACAATACCAAGTCTTCCAGCCCATGAACACAGAATGTCTCTCCATTAATTTGTGTCTTCTTTACTTTCTTCCAGCAGTATTTTGTAGTTTTCAGTCTTTTGCCTCTGTGGTTAAGTTAGTTTTTAATTATTTTATTCTTTTTGATGCCATTGCAAATGGAATTGCTTTCATAATCTTTTTCAGACAGCTCATTGTTGGTGTACTAGAAATGCAACTGATTTTTGCTTGTTGATTTTGTTAATGTTTATTTATTTATTTTGAGAGAGAGAGAGAGAGAGAGAGAGAAAGAGAGAGAGAATCCCAAGCAGGCTCTGTGCTGGCAGAACCATGAGATCATGACCTGAGCCAAAATCAAGAGTCGGATGCTTAACTGACTGAGCCACCCAGGTGCCCCTGCATGTTGATTTTGTATCCTGCAACTTTTCTGATTTCCTTTATTAGTAGTTCTAACAGTTTCTTTTGTGTGTTTGTGGAATCTTTAAGTGTTTGTGGAATCTTTAAGGTTATCTATATATGAGGTCATGTCATCTGTGAACAGAGATTAAGTCTTTTATTTCTTTTTCTTGCTTAATTGCTCTGGCTAGATGTGGCACTGGGAGGGGGGGCACCTGAGTGGCTCAGTCGGTTAGTGTCTGACTTTGGCTCAGGTCATGATCTCACGGTTCGTGAGTTTGAGAGCTGCATTGGGCTTTCTGCTTTCACCATGAGCCTGCTTTGGATCCTCTATCCCTCTCTCTCTCTCTCTCTCTCTCTCTGCCCTTCCCCCATTCACTCTCTTTCCTTGTCTCAAAAATAAATAAACATTAAATAAATTTAAAAAAAGAATGAAAATTATTGGGGCACCTCGCTGGCTCAGTCAGTTGGTAGGGCTTGCAACTCTTGATGTCAGAGTGGTGAGTTCGAGCTCCATGTCGGGCATAGAGATCACTTAAAAAGAAAAAAAAAAGAAAATTATTTTCTTCTTGTTCAAATTAGATAATTTTATTAGCTATCTGCACGCTCGCTGATCCTTTCCTCTGTATTTTCCACTCTGCTTTTACGCTCGGCCAGTGTTATTTTTGTCGTTTGCTGACTTTATTGTATCTTTGACTTCTAAAATTTCCAGTTGGTTCTTCATTGTCTTTTTCATGTCTTTGCTGAGATGTTTTTACTTTTCCCATTTGCTTAAAGAGAGCTTGTAATTGCTTGTTGGAGCATTTATATAACTGCTTCCCAATCCTCGTCAGATAATTCCGACATCTGTGTTGTCTCCGTACTGGTATTTGCGGATTATCCTTTCTCATTCGAGTATGAGATTTCCTTGGCTCTTGTTATGAGTGATTTTGGATGGTATCCTGGGCATTTGGAGGACAAGGTTATGAGACTCTCCCCTTTTTACGTATCTATTTTAGCAGGCAGTCCGTCTGTTGATATTAGGAACGCATGTCCTGGCCCCCTTTTGTGGGCTATGTTTTAAATGTCAATTACTTTTCAAAGCCTTTGCTATGCTCTTGTGGGCTGCTGCTTGTGTGTTACCCACAGGCTGGTCTGAAACCCGGGCAGGATTCCACACCAAAGAGGAGCTCTCAAAGCTTTTGCTGTGTTGATCCTGGTCAGTTTTATAAATGGGATGTGTCCAGGACTTGATACTCTGATTTAAAGCATCCCGTTCTGCCATGGATCTGTGGCCTCTCCTCTCCCCACCGCCACCCCCAAATTCATGTGTTGAAGCCCTAACCCCTCATGTGCTGATATTGGGAGATGGGGCCTTTGGGTGAGGTCAGGAGGGTGAGGCCCCGGTGATGGGATTGCTGTCCTCATTAAAAAGGCCCCAGAGAACGTTCCCTTTCATCCCCTGCCCATGTGAGGACACAGTGACAAGGTGGCGGTCCGCACCTTGTCAGGAAACGACGCTGGCCCTGAGATGGTGGACTCGCCTCCGGCACCGTGACAAGATGGCATTCCTGCTTCTCTCCCCCTTTCTTTCCCAGCCCCCCACGGCCAGGGCACGGAGGCCTTGGTGTAGACCTTCTCGCTTCTCAGAAGGTATCTGCAGAAGTATCTGCAGAAGTTCCTGGTGGCTACCCCTCCCTGTCTCCCCACCTTCCGGTGCGGGGACACCCTGCAAAACCAAGGTGTTGTGGCACTCGCCTGCCGACACCCTCGGGAAAAGCTCCAGGTTTCCCAGCCAGCAAGGCCGGGTGCTGACTTCTGCGAACTCAGCTCCCGCTACCCTTTCTCCTCACTCCTAGCCTAGCTCTGCTGTCAGGACCCACCGGCCCGAACCTCACCTTCACCCGGGTCGTGTTTACTTAACTAGCTTTTTTTTTTTTTTAAACATTTTTTTAACGTTTATTTTTTTGAGAGAGACATAGAGTTTGAGCAGGGGAGGGGCGGGGGGAGACACAGAATTTGAAACGGGCTCCAGGCTCCGAGCTGTCAGCCCAGAGCCTGACGCGGGGCTCGAACTCACGAACCGTGAGATCATGACCTGAGTCGAAGTCGGACGCTTAACGGACCGAGCCACCCAGATGCCCCTTAACTAGCCTGTTCTTAAGAAGCCTCCCCTTGGGGCACCTGCGTGGCTTAGTCCGTTAAGTGGCCAACTCTCGATTTTGGCTCAGGGCTCAATCTCGCAGTTCGTGAGTTCAAGCCCCGTGTCGGGCTCTGCACTGACAGTGTGGAGCCTGCTTGAGATTCTGCCTCTCCCCCACTTGCTCTCTCTCTCTTTCAAAATAAATAAATACACTTTAAAAAAAGAAATAAAAGAGGTCCTCCCTACACCAGAAGAACGGGTTGCCTAGAGAGTGGACACCTTTGCCTGCTGTTGCTCTCAGTGCGAAAGTCCCCTGCACTCCATGGCCTTGACTTTTCCGCCATCTTGCTCAGCCTGTAGCCTCCGGGGCCAGCGCTTCTGGGTTTCTCTGCGGTGTTCTGGTTGTCCAGCACAGTGCCTGACTCGTGGGAGAGGAGTCATGGACAGAACCTTCACCTGTATTTCCTGCCTCACTCCCCTGCATTTAGCCCCACCGCAGTTCATGAAAACAAGGCTTTGCTCCCAGAGCCTCTCGCCTTCGAGCCCTGACTTCTCTTTTTCCCTCTGTGTAATTCCTGTTTTCCTCCTACCCCGCGGAAATTCCTCTTTCATCACCGTGTTCTCACATGAACCCAGCTGGAATTCGTAGTTTATTCGTTGAATTGAATCCCATGTTGAATGAGACACCGTAGAGGGAGGAAGGGCTCTGAGCCCTGTTTTCTGGATCATGTGGGTGAGGGACCTGGGCAAATGTTCCCCCAGCACTTCTTTTTAAAAAAAAAAAATTTTTTTTTAACGTTTATTTATTTTTGAGACAGAGAGAGACAGAGCATGAACGGGGGAGGGTCAGAGAGAGAGGGAGACACAGAACCCGAAGCAGGCTCCAGGCTCCGAGCCGTCAGCCCAGAGCCCGACGCGGGGCTCGAGCTCACGGACCGTGAGATCATGACCTGAGTTGAAGTCGGAAGCTTAACCGAGGCGCCCCTCTCCCAGCACTTCTTAACTTCAGGTGGCTCCTTCTGGGCTCCCTGGGGGTGTGGATGGAAGCACTCTCTGGCACATGAGGGCCCTTAGAGGACAGAAGCACCATATCTGCTCTGTTCAGAGTTGTCCCTACCTTGCCCTCGGTGTGGCATGGTAACACTGTGCCTCCAGCTTTCAGATACTTTACAACATGGTCTCTCGGAGCCCTTGCCCTGGCCGGAAACTGTTGCCAAGGCCCAGTTTCAGTCTGCGCTTCTGGAAGCAGCAACGCTATACCGGAGACCTGAGATTCTGCCGGGGAGTGACTGTGCCATTTCAAAGTCTGGAATGTGTACAGCAAACACTTTGTTGGGTGGCCAGATATACCTCAGCCAGAGAGCTAACCAGTGCCAGCGTGTGGGACGTAAAACAAAGCCATGAGGGGCGTCCGGCTGGCTCAGTTGGAAGAGTGCGTGACTCTTGATCTTGGGGTTGTGAGTTTGTGGCCCACGTTGGGTGTAGAGATCACTTAACAACGAAATATCAAAAGATGATAATAAATAAAATAAAGCAATGAAACACAGGGCGTGCACATCCGTGGTGGCCGGGCAACCAAGTTTTATTACAGTTATCCTGATCTGATCGAACTGTTCGGGAGGCCAATTAAATTCACATGCAGGGGAAATAGCCTCAGATCAATCTCTGGGCAAACCTTATCTTTACGGCTATTCACAATATTGCTTTTCTTGCAGATGGGTACGTGTCTCATAAAAAGAAGACAAGGGAAAGGATCACATGAAACTGTTTCTGGGAGACATGTGGAACAGCACTGCTGGGCAATGTTTATAAAGTGTGACCAGGAAGATCAGCACCCCGCGTGGGCTTAGAATTTAAAATACGTAGACGTCAAAATCGGAAGGTAACGATACGGAAATGAAGCATGCTGCGTGGAACTCTGGTATTAAATAACCTCATCTTTAGGGACACTTGGGATAATATGCCGGCCCCCACGTGGAGGGGACCGACTTGGCTGATAATTCCCAGTTGGCACCCGGGAGGACGCGCGGGTAGATCCGTCACGGGTCGGGGGCAGTGTGACATCTGTGCGGCATAGCTCAGGGACTCGGCCATTTGCATGGACTGCTCCCGGCGCAGTGACCTCAGTGCTTTGAATCCTCTTGGGTCAGCGAAGCGAGATGCTCCCGGCCAGCGTTTGCCCGCTTTTTGGTCTCATCTGGGCTGTTCTGAAGTCTCAGCTTTGCTTCCAGTCTCTGCCTCCATCCTTCTCTGAGCCTGGAAATAGACACCAAACACGCAAACGGAGCAGCCATTTCCACGGCTGTTGGCTCAGGGATGCTTCCTTCCCCCCCCCCTTTTTTTTGCCCCCCTGAAGGTGTCTGTGTGTGCATTCAGGTTTTAAAAGGTATGCAGAGCACTTGCAAACTTAAATATATGCATATTTTATATTTTGTAGGTATATCTTTAGCTCTCACTTCTGTTCAGTCTCTTCTAATCTTGACCCTTCAAACTTTCCTTTTGGGGCTGCAACGTCTTTAGAGTTGTGGAGGGGGGAACCTGTCAGTCTAGAATTGTTCACTCGGCAGAGCTATCTTTCAAACACAGAGGTGAAGTAAAGCTGTCTTCAGCCATGCAAAAGCGGGAGGAACTCGCACCAGCAGCCTGTCCCCACATGACATGTTAAAGGAAACCCGTCAAGCAGAGGGAGAATGGCCCGAAATGGAAGTCGGGATCTGTGCAATTCAGTGAAGGGCGATCGCGTGGGTGCATATTACTAATTTTGTCTCACTACTTAAAGCTCCTTAGGGCGCCTGGGTGGCTCAGTCGGTTGAGCGTCCGACTTTGGCTCAGGCCAAGATCTCATGGCTCATGAGTTCGAGCCCCACATCGGGCTCTGTGCTGACAGCTCAGAGCCTGGAGCCTGTTTCGGATTCTGTGTCTCCCTCTCTCTCTGGCCCTACCCCGCTCGCGCTCTGTCTCTGTCTCTCTCTCAAAAATAAACATTAAAGAAATAAATTGAAAAAAAAAAAAGAAGATAGTGTCTGAAAGCAAAACTGTCAATGACGTCACGTGGGGTTTATGACGTGTGTGGAAGAGAAACTTTACTTTGCACCGTTGGAGGGGGAGCGGGGGGCTGGGCCACCGTAAGGCTCCCACACCCTCCCTCCGGGAGACCAGGTGGCCCTCGAAGGCACACGGTGATGGAGGCCCTAAAGCAACCCTGAAAATAACACAAACAGATGGCGTTAAAAAGCCAACAGAGGAGATAAAATGAAATCATAAAATACCATTTAGTGAACCCAAAAGAAGGCAGAAAAGAGATAAAGGAAAAACAGCACAGATGAGCGAACAGGAGACAAATCGCAAGCTGGCAGATGTAAACCCAATCATGCACATTAACGTTGAAGATGTAAACCGCTGATTAAAATGAAAAGATGTTGAGTTGAATAAAAAATGATATTGAAATAGAGGCCGCCTACGGGAAAATCGCTTTTTGTTTTATTTTATTATTTTATTTTATTTTGAGAGAGAGAGAGAGACAGAGTGCGAGCAAGTGGGAGAGGGGCAGAGAGAGGGGGAGAGAGAGGGGGAGAGAGAGAATCCCAAGCAGGCTCCATGTTCCGTGCAGAGCTTTACTTGGGGGTCGATCCCACAACCCTGGGCTCATGACCTGAGCCAAAATCAAGAACTGACTGAGCCACCCAGGCGCTTAGGAAAGTCACCTTTGATATGAAGGTGGCAATAGGTTAAAATCAAAAGGAGGGGAAAATATTCTATCTTTTTTTTTTTTTTTCAACATTTATTTATTTTTGGGACTGAGAGAGACATAGCATGAACGGGGGAGGGGCAGAGAGAGAGGGAGACACAGAATCGGAAACAGGCTCCAGGCTCCGAGCCATCAGCCCAGAGCCTGACGCGGGGCTCGAACTCACGGACCGCGAGATCGTGACCTGGCTGAAGTCGGACGCTTAACCGACTGTGCCACCCAGGCGCCCCTTTTTTTTTTTTTTTTTAATTTTTTTTTCAACGTTTATTTATTTTTGGGACAGAGAGAGACAGAGCATGAACAGG